TATGGCAAGGAACCAAATAGACAGAATTTTCTGTTTGTATGGAATGTACATTGTAGTCAGATGAGACAAAGAAAGAACAGAATTAAATTAAGAACTATGGGAAGTGTTAATACTGTGTCTGCTTGTAAAAAATCATAGAACTTGGCACTTGTTAGTACTGCCCCACCATCTTATTCTATGAAGTATGCTAATATTCTATGAAGTATGCTAAGCTATAATATATTCATGTCTCAGTCCATCCACTGTACATTATACATTACTGGATGTGTGCTAATTTACCAAAATATATGTATTAGCCACTTTTTCCCAATTGTGTTATATACTAAAATCTCAGAGTTATGTTACTTGAATATTTCATTTGGTACTTATCTTGATTTAGTTCTTAAAAGCTATTTTTAATTGGATAAAATTCTCCCAAAATGTCTCCTAGTGTAAGATTCTAAAGAAAATATTAGCAAACAGAATCCAACAGTGCATTAAGAAAATAATGTACCAGGCCAGGCGCGGTGGCTCAAGCCTGTAATCCCAGCACTTTGGGAGGCCGAGACGGGCGGATCACGAGGTCAGGAGATCGAGACCATCCTGGCTAACATGGTGAAACCCTGTCTCTACTAAAAAAGTACAAAAAACTAGCCAGGCAAGGTGGCAGGCGCCTGTAGTCCCAGCTACTCGGGAGGCTGAGGCAGGAGAATGGCGTAAACCCAGGAGGCGGAGCTTGCAGTGAGCTGAGATCCGGCCACTGCACTCCAGCCTGGGCAACAGAGCGAGACTCTGTCTCAAAAAAAGAAAAAAATAATAATAATAATAATAATAATGTACCATAAGTGGCATTTATTCCAGGAATGCAAAGTTGGTTCAATATTAACAACCGGTTTTTTTTTGGAGACAGAGTCATACTCTCTTGCCCAGGCTGGAGTGCAGTGGCATGATCTCAGCTCACTACAACCTCCGCCTCCCAAGTTCAAGTGATTCTCCTGCCTCAGCCTCCTTTGTAGCTGGGATTACAGGAGCCTGCCATCATGCCCGGCTAATTTTTTGTATTTTAGTAGAGACAGGGTTTCACCATGTTGGCCAGGCTGGTCTCCAACTCCTGACCTCATGATCTGCCCATATTGGCCTTTCAAAGTGCTGGGATTACAGGCATGAGCCACTGTGCCCAGCCTAACAACTCTATTTTTTTTTTTTTTTTTTTTTAGAAACGGAGTCTCACTGTGTTTCCCAGGCTGGAGTGCAGTGGCGCGATCTCAGCTCACTGCAAGCTCTATTATTAATATACATCTAGTGGGGGGAATCCTCCCTTTAACAAAAGTCAACACCCAGTTATGATAAAAACACTCAAGGAAGTAGCAATGGAGAGATACACTTCCAACATGGTAAAATGTATATGCTTTAGTTTCACTTATGGAATAGGGAAGCTCTAGAAGCATTTCCACTAAGATCACAAATGAGGCAAGGATCATCACTATCTTCACTACTGTTCAATAATGTACTACAGATATTAGCCAATGTAGTTAGGCAAGATAACTCAATTAAAGGCATAAGGATGAGTATAGGAGAAATAAAACTGTCTGTTTACAGATGATATAATAGTATGCCTGGAAAACCCCAGAGAATCAATGACAAATTAGCAGTGAGAGAATTCATTTAATGCAGTAGTGAGACATAAAATTAACATGCAAAAAGCAGTAGTCTTTCTATACATAAACAATAAGCAGTTAAAAGACATATAATGGTGAAGAGAATCCCATTTACAGTAACAGCAAGGAAGACTACGTGCTTAGGAATAAACTTAACATAAAATGTGCAAACCCTCGAGGTCCCTGAAAGAAACTAAAGAAGACTTCAACAAATGAAAGATGTCTCTTGTTCTTGGATGGGAGGAACTCAGCAGTCATAAGTTCTCCTTAATTGATGATTTCAATCCAATTGCCATGAAAATATTAGTGAGCTATTTTATATGGTTGGACAGGTTGATGCTAAAGTTCATATAGAAACACATGCAAGAAAACTTAGAAAACACTGAAAAAGAAAAGGTGAGGGGCACTATTCTTACTGGACATTAAAACGTGGTATAAAAATACTAGAACTAAAAATAGCGTGTGCTGGCCAGTGGAATAGAAGAGGAAGTCCGGAATTTGACCAAATACATATGAAAATGTATTAAATGACAAAGACGATATTTCAAGTCACTGGGCTAAGAATGGATTTTTAAATAAATTGTGTTGGAATGCTTGGGGAGCCATGTGCAAAGAGATAAAGTTAGATCCATCCTCACATCAAATAAACTCAAGGGAGATGGGAAAAAACCATGCATGTACTCGAAGAAAACTAGGGTGAATTCCTCTTTGGCCCCGGTGTAGAGAGAATAGCTTCCTAACTGTGACTCGGAACCCAGAGGCAATAAAAATAAAGACTAATAAATTTGACTACATTAAAAAAAATTTCCACTATTAAAGGCACCGCAAGCAAAACTAAAAGACAACTGACAAAGTAGGAGAAGATACTCACAATATATACTACAAACAAAGGGCTAATATCTCTAATATATAAAGAACCCTTAAAAATTCCAGGGCAAAGGATTAAGAACGTAAACAGAAAATAGAAAGACTTGAACAAACAATTCACAAGAAAAGATATTAAAATGGTCCTAAAATATGAAAGAGTAGTCAAACTCATTCAGAATCAGTAAGACTGGTAATTTATTATTATTATTATTTTTTTTTTTTTTTTTTTTTTTTTTTTTGAGATGGAGTCACTCCTCTGTCACCCAGGCTGGAGTGCAGTGATGCGATCTTGGCTCACTGCAACCTCTGCCTCCCGGGTTCAAGTGATTCCCCTGCCTCAGCCTCCCCAGTAGCTGGGGTTACAGGCACGCACCACCATGCCTAGCTAATTTTTGTGTTTTTAATAGAAACGGGGTTTCACCATGTTGGTCAGGCTGGTCTCGAAGTCCTGACTTCGTGTTCCACCCGCCTCGGCCTCCCAAAGTGCTGGGATTACAGGGGTGAACCACCGCACCTGGCCAAGACTGGTAAAATTTTTTTAAACAGCAATACAGTCTATTAGTGAGGTTATGGAGAGACAGGCCTTTCAAACATTGCTTGTAGCAATGTAAATTGGTACAAAGTTTCTAGAAGGAAATTTGGAATTGTGTAACCTTTTAGACCCAACAATCCCACTTCAGGGAATTTTCCCTGAACATAGACCTGAGCAATACAAAAATACATCCGCAGACAATCGGAAACTGTCTAAATGTCCGTACACAGGAGAGTGTTGAGTCAACTATGGAGCACTCACATAGAGAGGTACTGGGGAGCCCAGGACAGTGTGTCCAGGACAGTGTGAAAAAAAAGCAAAGCCCAAAAGATACCTAGGGTGTGCCACAAACTTACCAGCTTAAAACAAGGCACATTCAGTATCTCTTCCCCTGGCAGAGAGTTCAGGCACCTCTTAGCTGGGTCCTTGCTCAGGACTTACAAGGCTGTAGTCAAGATGTTGGGCAGCCTGTATTCTCATCTGGAGGCCCAACTAGGGAAGAGTCGACTTCCAGTTTCATTCAGATTGCGGCAGCTTCATTTCCTTGCGGTTGTTGGAGTGAGGTCCTGAGATTCCGGAGGCCTCCCCGTTCTTGCCTTAGGCTCAGTTCACATGAGAGAGGCCTATATCCTAGAAGGCCTGAGCCCATTGAAATGTCAGGCCCATACAGGATCATCTCTCTCCCTTTTGATTATTTCAAAGTCAGCTGATTAGGGAGTTTAATTATATCTGCAAAATCCTTTCACATTTGTCATCTGACATAATTGCAGGAGTGACAGCCCATCACTTTCTTCACATTCCATGGATGGAATCACAGGTTCTGCCCTCGGTCGAAAGGAGGGGATTACTCACCAGTGTTACTCATTGGAGGTCACTTGAGGGTGTGTCTGCCACAGTGAGTGGAGAGAAATAGTCTAATAAATAAAAAACCAAGTGAGGAAGAAGATGGCTCTTCTCACAATGGAATTCCAGTAACTAAATGTGGAAGAAAAAGGGGAAATAGAGAATCCTCGTTGCCAATACCACTGTAGTAAATGTAAAGAAGATCTTCTAAAGGATCCTGAAATTCGTGGGTGCAGGTTTGAGGAGGCATAGGATTTGCATAGTCTCAAATATCTTCTAAAAAATCCTTACCAACTACAAAGGGAAAATAGATTGTACTGAGAGGGGTATGACATTTTTGTGGTACACTTCCCCAAATTCATAACCTCGTTTTAGTGATAAAAATATTATCAGAGCAAATCAACTTTGGCAACATTCTACAAAATAACTGATCAGTACTCTTCAAAGGTGTCAGGGTCACAAAATAGAAGGAAAGACTAAGGTACCAACCAACTGGAGGAGGCTAAGGGGAAGTCACTAAATGCAATGTGCGATGATCCCCACAAAAAGACATGACATGGAAAAATGGGTATAATTCAAATGAGGTCTTTAGGTAAGCTTCTCTTCTGGTAATTGTATTATGGTTATATAGGATGTTAACATTGGAGGAGGTAGGCTAAAGGATATAAGGGAACTCCTTGCACTATTTTTACAAGTTTTCTGTAAGTCTGAAATTAATTAAAAATAAAAGTATGTTTTTAAAATGATAGCATAGAATTAGGCTGATAATTTTATGTCGGTAAAAGTAGAAATTCAGGTGACAGTTCTGCACCTAAATGTTGCATGTTGTTGTATATGTGATCATTGGAGAATACACAAGTGTATAATGGTGGAACTTATTCTTAATTCATAGTATAGTTTTTTCCAGTTGTATTTTTTTTCCATCATGCTTACCTCATAATAGACGTTGCTGAGGAAAGAACACGGGGCTCTTTTTTTTTTTTTTTAAACTATTTTAATGTTAAAGTGCCTTCATCCAGTGGGTTGGTTCACTGTGCCTGGCAGTATTCTCTTTAAAAATTATTACCACACTTTGTTTGAGAGGTTTTACTTGTGACCAACACATGTCATATAAAAATCTATAGTTTTGAAGGTGTTTATTGCATTCGGTTGGTTCAGAGGGCTCTGAATTTTCTTCTTTATGTGGACCACGGACACAGATGAGTCTTCTGTCTCACGTTCTCAAATGCACTTTCTGAGGCATCATCTGCTGTGACGATGTTTAAACTATGCCTGTGGAAGATCGAGTTGTTTCTTAGTAACTATAGTTACTGAATTATAGTAACTATGACTTAGTAGTTATGGAACTATGGATAGAAAGATAGGGAGTAAAGGAAAATGAATAAGATGGTTTGGGTGAATCTGTGTCATGATAAAGCTCTTGCTTCTTTAACAGAATGAATTTAATATGTGAATATTCTCGTTGCTTTAAAGGGACATCTGCTTTAGAATTGTACCACACAACCGGTAGTGCTGCTTGGCTGTGGCGGTATTTTATGAATCATGGGATGCATTTCTTACAGCCTTTTTTATTTCTACTTGAAATATTGTGCATAAGAGCAGTGCCTCGGGCGTGCACCATCTAAGCCATGGTGCCCTGTGTTCACATAGAATTACTGTTTGTTTTTACTGCCGTGAGTCTATGAATCCAGCCTGTCATGCAGAAGTGATCCTGATAATGTAAGCACTTACTGTCTTGCTGCAGCTGATTCCCCAGTGACATTTTAAAAAGTCAGTATTGGCTGCAGAGTGCTTTAAATTTCTAAATGGACTATAGATTGGAGGCCTTAGGGTATTTCATAGGAAGCACATGACCCTGCAGTGAGCACACAGCAACTTTTGTAGATCTGTAGCCAAGTCGGTGACCAGTATTTACCCTTGAAATTGTTTTGGTTCAGAATGTTAAGTGTTTTTTACTTTACATTTAATTATTTGGTACTAATACTAATTTACTACAAATGTCTGACACTAAATGGATACTTAACGAAGTCTATGCTGTTTGTCCAGGTCTTTTATCCCGACTAGGTATGGTTCTAATGTAAAAAGCAGCTTCTAGCAGTGACACAGTGCATATTTCTCAGTGTCTATAAATTCAGGTCTTTGATTTTCACTTAATCTGAAAATGAGAGTGGCAGTTACACACTCAGGAACACTCAGAAATACATTAACACGTTTTGCATTCTTCTCTAAGTGAAGCCTAAGCCCCTGAAAACAATTGTTTTATAGTAATATTTTAGCAGCTATTTGTATATGTTATCTAAACTGAAAATCGTATTCCTGACCCTCTGGCTGCCACAGATACACCACGATTAGACTCAGTTTGGAGTGACAGTCCGGAGAGATTCTGGGACCGTGTCCTGCCTGGCCACGTGGGTAACACACCCATCTTGTAGAACCACAAGAGGGTTGGTTGTTGTACATCGTCAAATACCAGGCTTTGTGCCAAATGTGTCCTGACCTTCACGGGGGCAAATTGGTGATGATCTTTAGGACATTAACTTGTTTCTTTATTATTTGTATTTCTTTTGAGCAATATGCATGACTGTGGAGCAGTGGGTCTGATGGGGTCAGAGCAGTTAGCCTGATCCAACCAGGTTCTCAGGACCACCACACCAGAGGACTATGCAGTGTTCTTTTTGTGTGCGTATGAGTGTATTTGTGTTTCCAATTTATTGAAGCAAAGGGGGAGGGCAGAAGATAAAATAGCATGGTCCTCATGTCACGAGAGCTAGTGCCTTGAGGACTGTGCTAAATTCAACTGCCTTTTTAATTCCATTACATTTTTAGTCACAGAAATGCATCTAAACCTCTGAGCCAAAAAGTGAGTTGAGATCATCAGCTACCTCTGATGATTTTTAAATTTCAAAATCTCATCTCCTGCCTTCACATGACTCATCTTTCTTTTATCAATATAGTAAGAAGTATCTTCCTTTAAATAATATTATCAGATTGTGATTTATTACGTATTTGTTATGCTCAGAAAGGGATTGAAGGAATACAGATAAGATTCCTATCTTAAGGAGGTTACGTTATATTTGGAAAAGACAAACTGAGCATACATTTAAAACTAGAAATTAAATAGATACTATTGCTGTGTTAGCAATAAAGATCAAAAGAGATGCAGAATAATAGTCCCTTCTTTAGTGATCATATATACTGCATTTTATAGTAGAATTTTTTTTGTTTCTTAATGGAGGTCTTCTAAGTTTATGTTAAGTCTCTCATTGACTAATGATGAAGATTTTTTAGAAGTCTATTGATATTACTGTATTGATTGGATATTACCACGAGTAATTGTCGGCCACTCTGCATGCCTGCCCACCTGGAAACTCACGTAAGAGTCAGGAAGATGAGTTTGGCCCAATGGCCCTACATTTTCTGAAATGCCTTGAAAAAGTGTGTGTCAAAAAATTTCAGCTACAGATTGATTCATATATGAGTTTAGGAACTCATTCAGTAACAGCTTTTCAGCAGGTGTGTAGCTAAATATGTTTATTCATGTTTCCTCTTTGTTTCCCAGGGAAAAGATGAACTATTACACTCTGAGCTATGTCTTTTTTTAATGGGGCTATACCTTTTGTGATCATAAAAATTAAATGTGTCTTGGTTTTGCATGACTGCACTATTAATGCAAAGGGTTCCCCCATCTCCACTTCCCCTCCTGTGTTTTACAGGTAGTCAGATGCCTCCGCAGCCACCCGGGAGCCAGTCAGAATCCAGTTCCCATCCCGCCTTGAGCCAGTCACCAATGCCACAGGAAAGAGGTTCGTCTCCAGTTCATGTCTTACATGCCTATAGTGCTTTCAGGCGATAAGGCTTACGTGAGTTTGCTTACCTGTGCACCTCCTTATCATGACTTTTTTGAAAGGATGTTATGTTTTCTTATCAGATGGAAGAAACAAACAAAAACCCTTCCAATAAATGTGGAGCGGAGGGAGAATGCTTTCTTGCAGGTTGGGTGAAGCTTTGTCAAACTACAGTTCAAGGCCCTAAGAATGTGTGTGTCCACATAGCACCATGAAGCACGGTTCACATGTGACTGTAGTCTGGTATTTGATCTAGTTGTGTAAAAATAACTGTGAATGACTCAACTGGGGTATCAGTCCCAATGCGTATGTACGTGGGTTGGGGGTGAGGGGTTGTGTGTGTTAATACTGGTTATTTCCTGATATTTAATAGTAAGATTTTAAACCCAGAGCAAGACCCTGTCTTAATCAATGGTAAAATCTTAGAACTGGGGCAGACCTAAAACTTTCTATGGCCCCGGTCACCTAAAGCAACTGAGGAGTATAGAGGTTAGGTGTGACTTCCCTTATTCTCAGGAGCTAGTTAGTGCCAGTCCCAGAGAAAAAGAATATGGGCTTTTCTGAAACCTTTGGAGAGAAGTGGCCCCACATCTGCTAGTGCTCTTGACCCTGAGCTCAGTCCTGCCTGTCATCCCTGCCATGCGTTTCTTACGGCCTTGCAGAGACCTTGGGCCCACCCATAGTTACCTCTGTCTTCATTCTCACTTGAAGCAGTAAAGCTACTCTTTGTGGTGGTTTTAATCCAGATTGGTGTACTGAGGAGGTACAAGAAGCCTACCTGTGCACCCCTGGTGCAGTGGCAGGTCACTTCCCTTGCTGTGGGGCAAGGCTCGCCTGCTCCATCCCATACCAAAAGAGAGAAATACCACTGTCCTCCACTCCCCTCCTCTCTCACACAGGCCTGGAGGCCAGAAGTTCCCACCTTGGCAGCTAATATGTACTGAGCTCCTGCTGTTGATAACTTTTTGTATATGAGTTGTAGAGATGATGATTTGCTTCTGATTAGAATTATGATTTCTGATTAGAATTATGAGGTTTAAGTTATTTTACATGTTAAAAACTCAGCAGCATGTTTAGAAAGTAATGTCAATGAAAAGATAGATTTGTTTTATCTACACATCATTTGTGTTGAATTGAAATGTTTCAGAGGGATAAAATGAATTTTTCGTTTTCGAATACCATTACATATTTAACTTTTTATTATAGTGTAAGGTGTAGTTGATAATATAATGTTTTAATAATGGAATAGTTCATGGTTTTTAAACTTTAGAGTATGTGAGAATCATCTGGAGGACTTGTTAAAAGAGATTCTTAGGCCCCACCCCCAAGTTTCCAATTCAGAAGGTTTGAATTGGGACATTTAAAACCTCCATTTTTGGCAAGTTCTCAGATATTGCTGAAGCTGGTGACTTGAGGACCGTACCTGAGAACCACTGCCTTCTAATGGTGCAATAATAGGTTTTCGAGGTGGGAGAATCACCTGAGCCCATGGAGGTCGAGGTTGCAATGAGCTGCGATCACACCACTCACTGCACTCCACCCTGAGCGACAGAGTGAGACCCTGTCTCAAAAAAATAAAAATAGATTTTAATAATTGTGTGAATATGTGCATTTGTTTCCCTAAATTCTCTACTGTGACCTGCTGTAAATCATCCTTTCATCCCATATCATCTCTATAAATTGCTTGATCTGTATTAACTCATGTGGCTCCAGTCATCTTGAAGGCATTATAGAAGTTCATAGTGTGCTGGTGCCAAGCAAGCGTGACTCTGACTAAAATCCTGTTTTGGGTTGTGAGTTGCACCTGTGTTGTATGGTTGGGTCACTGTGGGGAAAAAGGAAATTGTCCTGCACTGGGTGCCTGCTCGGGTCAGGCAGAGAACTGAGATGAAGACTCACCCCATAACCCTGTAACATCACTCTCACAGTTCTTCCTATTTTAACAAGTGTTATAGGGTAAGAGGTCCCTTATTTGAAAGTCTTAAAATTTTAACCTGTATTACTAAGAAGAAAGAAAAGAAAGAAGAAAGAAAGAAAAGAGAAACCCTCTCCTTGAACAATGTCTTTCCCAACCTTTTCCAACAGATACGTGCTTGGGAAATTGGGCAGTGTAGAAAGCCAGATGTGAAAAACAGGACGACAATTAGGAAACTGAGCTAAATCAAACTTTTAGCTTAAATTAACACACTTTCAAGGCAAATTCTAGGCTTTTTAGTGGTACTATTGTATGGAAATTACCATGTTAATATGATTATTGTTTTTCTTTGATTGCCTTTATTATATGTAGTGTAGTTTGGGTAACTGATACCAGATACATAACAATCTGGGTGGTTATAATGACCACTTCCTTTTTTTTTTTTTTGAGACGGAGTTTCGCTCTTGTTGCCCAGGCTGGAGTGCAATGGCACATTCTCGGCTCACTGCAGC